GTCTATGTAAGAGGAGTCATTTTAATTAATCAAGTCTAATAAACATGAAAACTAAAAAGAAACAGAAGAAAAAACGATAAAATCCAATGAAAAAGCAAGCCAGTCAAGGAAAAATATCGCGTCCTATCGATTTTCGGGAGGCGGGGTGAGTACGGTAATTGCAGTGACATCTGCCGCATGCCGCAAGGGAGAATGCCGCGATAGGGGAGAAGTTCCGTTACCCGGTCGCCAGCACTGCGCCTCTGTAAGACCCTTCGCTTGTTCAGGGGGTGTCCCTAAAACGACAACCCCAAAGTGTTCTTTGTGTCCAGAAAATCTGAATATTTATAGTATCTACGAAGAAAGCATTTAAGGCAAGACCAATACCATTTTCAACAACATAAACCGTATGAATCAAAGATGCAATGAGAACGACAAGGCAACAACGGCGCTCATAATACCCAGCCTTAGTAGGTAAAAAAATACATGAGAAACTGAGACATTACAAGCAAAGAATCACATAGGGCTTTTAATGATCACTTGCTTTTTCTCTTACGGGAATGAGGAGCGAGATCTCCAACAAAGTACTCCTGAACGTCTTCGTCCAGGCCACAAGGGCGGGTGAACTCCTGTCCACGTTCGTGAATCCATTTATTTGATACCTGCAAGACAGAATATTCATCACATGCTCGAAAAGGGTATCGTGCTTTATTACGTACCCATTTCACGCCGAGCAATACTGGGCATGCAGCATGCCTTGTACGCAGATCACCCTCGCCACTTCTCATCAGATTGTACCAGAAGAGTGCGTCAAACTTGGACGGGAAGACAGCGGTTCCGAGGTGATTGAAAACGGTCGCTCCTCCTAGTTCTGGCTTCGTCATCTGAAAAACAAGCTCGATCAAATGCCGCGGCCATAGGTGAACTGGTAAACGACGGAGCATCCTTGACTCGAGTCAAGGATCCCGTAGCGCTTCATGGGCGACCTGAATGCAATTTGGGGTTTCTGCTGTTGTTTCGCCTAAAACTGCATGGGTGGCAAACTGATTAGCCGCAACCCTTGATTCTCTTGCGAAACCAATTCATATAGCAGCACGAAATAATTTTAGTTTTTTTCCAGAACAAGTGCTATTCAGTGTTTATGGACCACCCCTTGATCACCATTTGGTTCCGTTTCCTTTTCAGTCATGAGGCTTCACGGAAAGGGCAGCAGCAGACGAATCTTGCC